ATACACAAGAGATTACTGTTTAAACACCTCCCTTAGATACAATTCCGACTTTCACCAAATATAAATATCGATAATTAATAATCCGAACTTCGCTTGCTTATTAAATAATTAAGAACGAATTAACTATTTGCTTTCTTTCACAATGGTGTTTGGATTTATGTGCTACAATTCATAAACGTTGAAATTATAGTCTTTCCTGGTACGTTCAGGTGTTATGAATATATGAATATCTTTACATTCTTTTTCTACGTATTATGGTTAAGGAGCTTCCCCGTTTGAAAAATCTAGAACACATTATATTTCCATACATATTGTTAGTGGTTTAAATATACAGGGTGATTCACAAATGGTGACCAAAAATGAAACCTCGTATCCTTTGACGAATTTTAAGGGGAGTCTTTCCTATAAAGTTTTTATCTAGGACGCTTCATTAAAAAGATACAGGGTGCTAAACGTCAAAAATATTTTTAATTTTTTTAAATAATTTAAAAACTAGTGAAATAATTTGAAATTGTGTATATGTATTTATGTAAACATTGGCCAAAATCTTGCTCCAGTGGCGGAGATACAGGGTTTGGTGGCAAATTTTTCTAAATAAATTATTACGCCACTGCTTTACGATAACAACCATTATATTTTCGGATTCGTCTTTCAGTTTTTTACAAATTACTACTCTCTTATTTGTTTCGAAAAAAAACCTGATTTTCGAGTAAAACTTTTACTTAATGATATGACAAGCATTAATCATTCGGTTATTTATTCGTATAAAGAAATTAATAAATTTAGTATCATTTTAATGATTTTATTTGAGTAAATGCTCAAAAATACCTCAAATTCCACGAACACACGCCCGACATATTTTAGTAACGAAAATCTAATTTGTTCAATATTTAGGTATTGTTGCTTAAATCTGATCAAAATCATTATTTATTCTTTCTTCTAACTGCTCAGAATGTCAAAGTTGCTATCGCAGCCCGCTATGTAATTTTAAAACGCATTATATTCGAATATCGAAGTGTGTTTTTAGTTGATTTTTAAGTTTTACTCGAAAATCAGGCTTTTTTCGAAAAACATAAGAGAGTAGTAATTTGCAGAAAATTGAAAGACGAATCCGAAAAGATCGTGATTGTTACCGTAAAGCGTACTATTTTATTTATAAAAATATGCTACCGATACCCTGTATCTCCGCCACTGGAGTATGTAAATTTTAGGAAAAGCCTTCAGATTTTGGACAATGTTTACATAAATACATGTGCCCAATTTCACATTATTTCAATGTCTAGTTTTTAAATTATTTAAAAAAATTAAAAATATTTTTTAAAGTTTAACACCCTGTATCTGTTTAACGAAGATAGAAACCAAGATAAAAACTTTATAGGGAAGACTCCCCTTAAAATTCACCACAGAATACGAAGTTTCATTTTTGGTTACCATTTGTGAATCACTCTGTACACTAAGGGTACATGAAATGTAAAACAAATATTAATTATTATTGATATTTTAGGTTTAATATAATAAATGAACTGGCACAATACACTTCAAGAAATTTGGATTGTGTATTAACACTGGCCAAGCATCCATGCTCTGATTAATAATCTGCCAATGGATTAGGTCGACATTCAGCCACAAGCAGGGGCATTTACGTTTGTGGTTCTGTTGCGTTGTCCGGTTTAGCTGGGCACCATTTCCACTGATAGTATTCGCTCCCCTTTCTATTTCTGGATTTCCGGAACTAGGTTTCTCTTTACATTGACTTGTAGGTGGTTACTTTTGTCCTTACGTTTCCATTTGGTTCGGATTTCGTAGAATTCGGAAAATTTTTAATCTCCGAAATCCGAACCTGAAACGGCCTCCTCTCCTTTCGAGTGTTTGGTACTATGGAGTGATTTTGGGGCAACTTTGAGCGGTTTTCAGTGTGATGGCGGAAATATTGGGAAAGTCGGTGAAATTTTCCAATATCGCGCCGGATCTCTATTGACAGCATCGTCTCTGTCGACATGGGTTGCTGTGTCTGGACTGGTAGGTGGATACTCGGAGTGATTTTGGTTGCGACGTAGGAAAAATTGAGAAAGAGTGGTGAAATTTTCATTTTTCGCGCCGTGCTTTCTGCATCGTCGCGCTAGGATTCTGGGTCCTTCGGGACATCTTCTTCGACTTTCACTGTAGTTGGCTCTGCATATAGCTACTTTTGATAGCTTCGCGGTCCCGATTGGAAACATGAGTGAATTTTTAAAATCGGAATCAGTATTACGGCAATACGCTGTAGAAGCAACTGATATTAACTTTTTAACACCTACTATACAGTGGTGTTAAAAAGAAGCATATAAACTTGTACTATTTCGAGAAATGTGAAGATTTTAGTTCACTACATCGACAAAAAACCTGAAGTAACCAAGTAGACATCGTGTTCAGTGTCACTAAGTGGGAGCAATTTAGTTTAATACAATATTCGGGCTAACAATATCCAATATGAAATGAAAAAGATTAAATAGGTACCTAACATCATTTTGTTAGTAAAATACTATAAACCTAATTCTATTCCCTAATTTTGCAGAGTAATACAATATAAGTTGAAAACCATGAAAATTAAGGTAAGTAAATAATTATTTTATGTGGCTAATAAAATATACAGGGTGGTCAAATGAAAACGAAACAGAGCCATTTTCAGGAACTGCGTCAAGATTGTAGAAAAACGCTCAGACCCGTCGATTTTAGATTAAAGGGGGACATTCTTTGCTGGTATTTTTGACTCCGCCACTTTCACCCCCAAGCAAGTGTAAGCATCACCCCAAAATATTTAAATGTCATTGGGGGTTGAGTAATATTTCTTTTGAAAGCTCTTACAATTCTCTTTACAACAGACTTTAAATTTTATAATTCCGCCCAATACTTTGAAAAAAATTTACATTTTAAAATTTAAATTATGTTTAGTTGCTTACTTACTACTTAGTTGATTAAATGTTCAAACTGATGACCGCCCGCTTCCATACAAGAATAAAGATTTTGTTCGAAACGTTCGCGCACATTCCGAAGCATTTCCGGAGTGATTCGACGGCATTCGTCGACGATTCTTTGACGCAAATCTTCCAGCGACGCTGGCTGTGTTTTATAGATTTTACTTTTTAGGTATCCCCACAAAAAGAAATCAAGGGGCGATAAATCCGGTGATCGTGGAGGCCACTCAATGCTGCCTCTTCTCCCAATCCAATTCCGTAGAAAACGTTGGTCCAAATACTGACGGACAATTAACGCATAATGCGGAGGAGCACCGTCCTGTTGAAAAATCAAATGATCTTCATCATACTCTGGAACATTTTCAATAATATCAGTCAAGGCAGGGTCAATAGCGTCTTCCAGTAATTGCAAATACATTTGGCCAGTCAAATTACCAGGTAGAAAAAAAGGACCCACCAGCCGGTCACCGAAAATTCCAGCCCATACATTTAATTTTTCCGGTTGCTGTGTATGCACCTCGTGAAAAACTCTTGGGTTTGAATCGGACCAATAGCGGCAATTGTGACGATTTACCGTCCCGTTCAAGAAAAAACTGCATTCATCAGAAAAACAGATGTTAAAAAGGAACTGTGGATCGTTCCCTGCTCGCTCACTCATTATTTCGCAAAATTGCAAACGGCGGTCATAATCATCCTCATGAAGTTCCTGGACTAAATGTATTTTGTATGGATGGAATTTATTCTTCTTCAAAATGGTTTGTATGCTAGTTCGATTGATCCCAGACACAGATGCCAGCTGCCTCGTACTTAATGTAGGATCAAGATGAACTTGTCCCAAAACTGCAACTTCACTAGCTTCATTAACTATAGGTTTTTCAATTTCTCGTTTTTTATTGGCTACGTTCCCTGTCTCTTGAAATTTTTTTACTAACTCTAGAACATACTTCCTCCTGACATGTCGATCTTGATGTTGTTCATTAAATAGCTGAGCTGTTCTATTCGCACATTTATTGTTCATAAAGTAAAGCGAAATGATATCTACCCTTTCCGCAATGGAATAAACCATAGTGTTTAATTTTCAAAAACACAATTAAATAAACTACCAACCAACGCTTCCAAATAATACTAGAAAATAATTTGGAATCCACTAATTTTACGTTCATTGTGTGTGTATAGCATTCATTTCTGTTTTTTACAATTTTGTTTTTTTTTACGAAAGTGATAACAAATCGCCAAAAACCAATGTAACGCAAGAAATACTAAATTTATACCATTGGCGTACTTAACTCGAATGACTGACATTTTTACCGTTACTAATTGTTTGTACATAAGTTTCAACTTTAAAATCAAAATTCTTAATAAGTATTGGGCGGAATTATAAAATTTAAAGTCTGTTGTAAAGAGAATTGTAAGAGCTTTCAAAAGAAATATTACTCAACCCCCAATGCCATTTAAATATTTTGGGGTGATGCTTACCCTTGCTTGGGGGTGAAAGTGGCGGAGTCAAAAATACCAGCAAAGAATGTCCCTCTTTAATCTAAAATCGACGGGTCTGAGCGTTTTTCTACAATCTTGACGCAGTTCCTGAAAATGGCTCTGTTTCGTTTTCATTTGGCTACCCTGTATAATAGGTATATAACAGTTACCTAACAAGTAGAAAATATTTTTTTATTTTTGATTTTATGGTAAAAATTAATTCTTGCAAAAAATGCTATTTGGTACGGAAATGTAGTTTTAATTTTGATCGGTTCTATTTGGTTTTACAATTCATAAAAATGTTAAACTTTTATACTGTGAAAACAGTTGCAACGCATGCCATTTTTAATCAAAATTAACTGAATATACAAAGAGTAGGCATTTATTATTTTCGCATCGAAAGCAACTTTTTTATATTTGCTAGAAAAAACACGCTCTTTTAAAGGATGTGCGTTTATATATATCATGATGTGATACTTATCTGGTAGAATTTTATACGGTAAATATGTCAGAGTGAAGTAAATACAGGGGGATAATATTAGCTTTACTCCAATTTATGAATGTACTTACCTGATATAACTCGACGAGATCCCAGATCTTTAGCCCCAGAAGGATTAAGGTAAAAATCGCTCGAATGGTCAACGGTTTCAGCCCATTTCCTGAAAAGAAAAAAAACTTAATTGATGTCCTCCTTAATACCCTTAATGCGATGATGTGCCCGACAGAAATAATATTTTTTTAACTAGGGATATATAATATTTTTTAAAAGCAAATGTTTAGTTTTCCAGGGAAATCTGAAGTATACTGTCAAGAGAAAATCTTATTATTCCAGGGCATCCTGGCTTTGTAAATTTAATTTTTAAATGTGAAGCAATATTATTCAGTGGTTCAACGTATCGAATTATTCTTTCGTAAAATAAGTTAAAAAAATGTGTGTGTCCATTAATTCAGGAAATTGTACGTACAATGATTGTTTTTCTCAGCGTCGTGCAGAATATGTAAATTTTATTCATCAAATACCGTACTTCTCTTCAACCTGTCTACGTGTTTTTTTTGGGGTGGGTGATTAATGAATTTACTCATTCAAATTTCTATGAGATTTGAATACGGATGTTTAGTTCTTTATGAAAATTTGTTCAATCATATTATCTAGGTATTACGTGGGCTTATATAACTCGACGTTTTTAGTAAATATTTTGATTTTGCGATAAAATTCTGTTTTAAAAACATGTCTAAAGAAGTATTCTATTTGTATTGCTAATTTTCGACTCTTCTGTTACAGGATCCTGAATCTTGTGTTAAATATTTCTAATTACAGGTATTCAGTAACTAATGCAAATATTCAGTATTTTCAGTAAGGCTAATTAACTGAATAATATTACTTCCATATATGCAAATACATATACAGCCCGTACGATATTTTTTGAGATAAGAATATTTTACTTAAAAGCACTTCAACTACAAAACATGTACTTTTCACAAGTGTAATACTTAATTGTCCGTTTAAGTTTAATATCAATAGTTCAAAAACAATTTATTTAATTATATCTAACCCCTTCAACCACTCTACTGAGGTTTAGGGATTTTTAGTTGATGGTACCATGCAAGGTTGGTTCGATGGTCAAGTGTTTTGTAATCATTAATGAAGGTCTATGATGCGAGTACGTTTACTAATATTATATAACGTTAACAAAATTATCAAATAAAGATACCAAGATCGTGATTTTTTTTTATTTCTTGGTATTTTTTAGTTGCAAAAAGTTGTGTTATCTTTAACAATGTTTTGCAAATTCGTTTGTTAACAACTATTACTTACTTCTACTATTTTCTTCCTTTACTTCCTTTACTTATGTGATGTGTCATAGTTTCTAATTAAAATTTATTAATGTAACAATTATATATTTTCTTATTCTGTACAAAAAAAAAACATTTCTAGAATATTTGTTAGCATTTACAATATTTACATATACAGTGCTATCTAAAAAGTTTGCTCCATATGGGAAAAAATGTATGTATAACTTTAATCAATTCTTTCGATTCTCAGTTGTCTCTGCATGTCGTCAAATCAAAATAGCGCCCATCGATCCTTATAAAACGTCTGTTATATACGAGGGGCAGATAAAAACTGCAAATCGGCCAAAGAGTAAAGTACCTAAAATTAAATTCTCAGTAAATGCATATGTCAATACAACTATTTAGGTACAAAAGCAACTAATGATCGAAACTCTACAACGCCCGTGAGCTTGGGAAACATGAATTGAAAATAGCATCTTCTTAGATAACAAATCTTGCCAACGCCAAACTAATGAAGCTTTCGGTCTGAAATTTTTACCACTAATTAAGAGTGCAAAGAGCTTCAAAAATTCAATTACAAGTGTCTACGATGAAAATTGCATTAACCATTAGAAATTGAAAAAAACGGCCATTTTCGACCATTTTTGAGCTCTCGCGCATAAACAAATTATCGGAATTTAATCGGACTTGTCTCTTTTTACAGATTTATTTAATAATATCAACAAAATTTTTGTATAAACCTTTTTTCGCTATAAATAACAGTTTTTGCGCTAGTCAAAACCACTTTTCCATAACTTTGATCATTGTTTAAAATAACTTTTTAAATGAACGATAGTTTCATTTATTTATTTAATAATAGTAAAATAATTCCGAAATTGATATTTTAATTAATATTTCGTTTAACAATAATTTTTGTGACATTTTTGTAAATTAAAAAAAATTAAGTATAAAAGATGCATTTTTTCTGGGGTTCAGGGCTATTCTACGATTTCGTAAATATGCCCATTGTTATTTTTTCGTCGAGCTACCCCAGTTTAAAAAAAATAAGTTTCTACGATGAATAGAAGCCGAGATATTGCAAAATTTACAGCGCGTACTTCCCCCACCACCACGCCGCCGGCCGCCGGACAGTTTACTTAGCGAGTACCTTCTCTTTAAAGGGCTCGTGAGTCGTTAATTTTCCACATTTTTCAATGCAATTCACGGGAAATCGTAGTTTACGTCGTAAACTTTATTTTGCGAAAAATTCAAGTCTTAATATTTATAAACAATTGCGCTACGATTTTTTAAAAAAAGATTCTTATCTTGGCTCCTGTTGGTCGTAGAGGGCACTTTTTTTATTTTAAAACTGTATTTTTTTTCCAGCTATCCATTGCATCTATTTTCGGTGAGATAGCATAAATAGCAACAATGTTATTCAAATTGTTTATAAGCGAAAAACGCACGGTTTTTTAATGCACAATTTGAGAATGTTAATGTCAAAAAAACGGTGATATTTTTTAATAGGTCGCTTAATTGCGTCTTTAAGATTACAATGACGCTTTCAGAATCATGTTTGATTGAAAATTAACGTCTGTACAGAGGCTTAAAGTTCATAACTTTTGGAGCCTCCGCTATAAACAAATAGAATTGTGCGAAAACTATTGCACCTACAGCGCCCACTTTTGGCACACTTTTAAAGTATGACAAAACCCTCAACTTGTCATAGGTTTTATAAAATTTTAACAATAAATGCGATAGTTATAAACAAATTAAAAAATGGGCACTTTTCTTGTTTTTTTGCAATAACTTTTTTGTTTATTAACCGATTTTAATTTAACCAGTCTCATTTTGTAGATAATTTTACTCCCTATAAGCTGTCTGAGAGTCACTTTTCGCTAAAATTGATGGTTTTCCCTGCAATGTGAAAAAACTGTTTTCCTCACTTATTTGTTTAAATAGAAAAGTTAGCTAATAAAAATTTTTGACTCACGAGACGAGAGATGTCTTGTATTATGTTCCTTTAGACAATTTTACAATAATCTCGCGGATAGGACTTTTTTCGAGTTTCTCTTTTATTTTCGTTATTTTCCTGGTGTATATATTTTGTATATAAACTATAGTTGACAGTGCTACAATTGTGTAACTTTATAAATTTTTAAATATGTATTTTAAATACACTGTACAAATTAGTGTCCAAATATCCTAAATCTAAGTTTAAAATATGAATAAGACATCTTGAAGAATTTTTAAGACATCGCAAAAAATATGAACCTCCCTTCTACATATATAAAAAGTTACTCTTATTTTTCGGTGTGTACATCCTGTATATCAACTTTGTTAGGATTTAGTTTTTCGCAAAAAAAATAAAAAAGCACAGATGTAAAAATTACACATTATAAGGAAGACCCCCCCCTAAACAACGCTAAAATACAAAATTACTGGCATACTTTTTATTAGTACCAAATTTAGATATAGCATCAAATTTTGCAAAAGAAATATTTCACATTTTAAATTACATGTAGCTAGTGTTTCAAGAATTTTGAAGGCTATCTTATTTTTTCATTTTTAAATTTAATTCTGATGGAAGAAATGGATAAATAATACACGAAATTTTTTTTTGTATACAAAATTATAAGATACATATCTAGGTACTACTTACAAAAATTAGTAAATACACGACACAAATGGTCAAGACAAACAAGTTACAAAAAAAACAACACACAGGTGGTATAGTCTTTCGAAGTCAGTTGAATATGCAAAAAAATGTCTGGTAATAAAATTTAATTAGTTTCATAGGCGTCCCTAAAAAAATTTTCAGCTAAAGTTAAAAAATTATAATAATTTGTATATAATGTGTAGAAAATTTCTATTATATGTTCATTTGACCAACAACATATTTTAATTATTTATGTCCTCAACCAGTTTTATTATATTGGTGATAAATTTTGTTTTGTTCCATTTCAAAAGGTCTCCAAAATGCCATGTTGTGATAATATTAGTGAACAAAATATCCCTCTTATTTCTCCCTTTCACAATTGTAATATGAATGATTGATAGAAGGTGTCTATAATAAATTAAAATTACCTGATTCACACCAAATTCCGCATTGCTGCACTGCACTACACTTTACTTTGATCTTAGCCAAATGCCGAGAAGCGGGTAATTTATCAGCCACTTGTCGTCTGCTGTGATTTATTGCCCAATAGCCCAATACAACTGTAATCGTTTTCCTTTGCCCACGCTCGCATTCTTCAACTGAGCGTATACATTTCCATCGTCTCCACGTTTAGTTCGACCACTACTGTATATGGATCCATATAAGCAATATTCCTATTTTTTAAAAGTATGGACTTGCCCCCTTTTTGCAATTAAATAACGAAATCTTGGAAAGCTTAATAATTACGAGACAATCAGATTTTCGTATTAAGTTCTTGATTTGATCTAGCGCACAATCTACTCCTACTGACGCAAAAGAATTAACTACAACGTTCATTAATTTTTCCGTATGATTCGGTTTTAAATAATATTTAGGTTTTAACAAATCCGCCAAAAAAAAAATACCTACAGTTCCCCAGAAATGACGAAGTGAGTAGGAAGAAGCAATGCCCCCCCCCAGCGAGATTAATCCGGGTATAATATATTCCCAAATTGGTTTTAAATACCTATGCCGGCGTTTTCCAGTGCTATTTGTAAACAGGGCGCTTTTGAAATAATCAGGTCTGCCTTTTTTGCCCGTATAGAAATAACACAATCCCGGTTTAATACTAAATTAATTTTGTGCGACTTAATCCCTCTCAAATGAGTTCTGAACCGAGACAAAAGTACGTAGAATGTACAGATTAAATACAGTATAATTTGGAATAAGCTATACTGCTGCAATTAT